AAAAAAAAAAAGAGAATAGGTAAATTGATTTCCTTGAGCTTTTCACAACGGCGTAAGTGATCGTACTGGTCCTGCGCCGCGTCACACGCTGCGCAGCTACCCTAATTTAATAACGGTATTATTTTTATCAGTATATCATATTTATTGATGTTACACAAGATCTGCATGATAGCAGAAATCGTGTGGGTGCTGTTGGGGTAGTTGCCGGTCAGTCAAGCCGCTCTAGTCGACTATTATCGACCACGACTATAGTCGGTTGGTTAGCCGACTATAAGTTGACCGAACCCATCCCTATTCATCACCACTTCGCTATCAGAATACCATAAAATTAATTAATGATTATAGATACTTCGATATGTAAATAATTAGTAGAACCGAACAGAAGTGATAGAAGTAGTAATTAATAAACCCGTTAGCTTGTAGATCAACTCATATATCCTTAAAACTAATTAAATTCATTGATAGTAGTGTTGAATTAATCTATTAACGCTTGCATCATAATGAGATAGATTTGGAAATAATCAGTGATGTCAGCTTTGCATCATAATGAGTGATCTACATGCGGAATTATGTCATAGATATGTAAAAATCTTAACTTCTTCTGAAAATGGATAAATAAAAATCATTACCCTTCTAAAATAGAATTTTTTTCAATTCAGCATAGGCCACAGCAAAAAATATAAATCAAACCATCCCTTATACATTTCATGTGATCGTACTGGTATATACATAATTGATAATATTAAATCTATTATTTTTTAATAGCAAAGCTTGTGATATATTTACTTTATTATTATAAAATACAATTTAACTATATTTTATTAATATCAATATTGCAAATAAAAGTATTATTTTACTTTATATTTTAAAACTAAAGAAACAATGTATGATGATTATGATCTTTCCATGTTCAAGGATTTGTTGTTCTTCTCTTATATGTTTCAATATCTGTTACTATTTTTTGTAATCCTGCAAAACTGCTTTTTACAGATTTTGCCCATTTATAATTTTGCTTTGCTTTTTGCTCTCGTACAATTTCAAGTGCTTTAGTAAGATATAGCTCATAATTTTCATATAAATCATCTGAGTCGTCATCGTCACTATTTTTATAATTTTCTAACTCCTCAATGCTTTCAATATTAACTGTTACATTTGGTTAATTTTCTTTATCTTGTTCAATATTAAATATTGAACTTGTAATTTCTTGAAAAGATTGTGATCATGATACTATAATATAAATTACTTTGTATTAAAATTAAAATTAGATCTATTTCACTTAATAATTAAATATATATTACCTTTTAAAGTTGGTAAAAAAATAAACAGATATTTTTCTTGTTGTTGAACTTGACGAAAAAATTCTGAATTTGTATTGAACTTGCATTCGTGTATAAGATGTTTGCAAATAAAGAATCGACTCAATAAAAAAGATTTACAATTGCATATCTATTGTTTAGTATCTACAAAATAAGTATTGTTGATATTTCTTTTACTAAAAGCTTGCTATTCAGATTTAAAATTTTTTCGTCATGAAACCTTTTCTCTTTTATTAATATATTTTTGATATTGCACTTGACAATGTGGAATAAGCCATGAAACAATAATATATATTACTAAATCAATACGTGGACGATAAAATTTGGGTAAATAATCATGTTTAACTACTTTCTAATGCGATTCAATAAGCATTGTTGTGTGTAATATACAAATTTCAGTTGAAATTGATGAGCGTGCCCAAAGGATCCACATATTTTTTTGATACCAGTAAGTCCATAAATAGGCCCACAAGTGTTTTAAATCATTATTGATACATAATTGATACATTTCGTAAACTGAAGATTCCCAAATTTGTTGATCTGATAAAAAATTTCCATTAAGATCTGGAATAAGCGAATATAAATGAAAATGTTTATTCATTGTTTCGATAATAATTGGTCGTAGATCTTTGCGCAAAAAATAAAATTATATTTTTTTTGCTCTTTTTTTGATAAATCCAATAATTGAGGATAGAATTCTTTATCAATAAAATTAAATGCATTATGAGCGTCATTTGAACTATAAGTAATTGTTCTTGGTAGTATATTATCAGAAAGTCATTTTTTGATAGCTTTTTTTAAATGCCATAAACAAATTTGTACTTTCACATTTGGCCAAGTTGATCGAGCAGCAGATATTTGACTAAAGTCTTTATCCGTTAAAAAAAGGTAATATTATCCATTCCAAGCATTTTAAGTTGCTGAAAAAAATATTTTAAAATATCTGTATGTGCTCCATTGTCTTTCTTTTTACTATCAATAAATAGATACGCCATTGCGAATCCAGCTCCATCAAATTGTCCAATTATTGAATAGAGCTCAAAATCTAATGCATTCGTCTGATCTTTAATTTAAAAATAATTAAATTAATAAAAGTAATATTATTAATTTATTAGCTTTAAATTATACTTACATGTTGCATCAACTACGATTTCTTTGTTTTTTAATAATAGATTAAAAAATGGAGTTATGAATCCAAGATATTTAATACCCTCCGTAATATTTTCTAGCACAATTGAATAATTATATTCTTCAAGAAGAACTTTCATAGAATTTAGCTGATTATTATTATCACAAACATATTTTTCCTTGATAAACTTATTCCACCATGCATGTACTTGCTTTTGCATAAGATCAGGATAATTTGACTCTAGCTGTTTATAAATATCACTTAGTGTTAAATATATATTTTTCTTAATATGTTCCTGAACTACATTATCAACTTCAAATCGCTCTGGTCGTTTATGCAAAAAATTATGTTTAAGTCGAATTTTTGCAAAGTTGCTATTCAGATTAATAGAAATATAAAGTGTGCCTTCACATGCAAATCGTTCCATACTATCACGATCTCTTTGTTGCTCTAAATCCTTATGTTTTCGAGGTCTTTTGTTAAGTGTTTGACATTGGGAACAATAATACCAGAATGAATGACTTCCAGGAACCTTTTTTAAATCATAACTTTTTTTGTAGCTATATAAATATTAACGAATAAATATTTAATACTGTAATAGAAGTATAGTATATTTTAATATTATATACTTACATATAATTATATCCGTCCCCTTGTTCAACAAGTTCGGCTATTTTTTTAGAAAGTTTATGGGGATTGTCTATAGCATCTAATTCCAATAAACATGAAAATTCTATTCCCATATTGTCATTTTCCATATAGTTATTAGAGGTGATAGTGCATATTTCATCATATAGTTTTGATGGTAAGTTTTCTAAAAGAATTATTTCTTCTTGATTATCGTCATTATCGTCATTATCGTTCTGATTATTATGATTATTAATCTCCTGCTTTTTTATTTTATATATACGTGAAGACTGAGTGCGACATATAGAACAGGATTTTACTTTCTTCCCAGATTGATTTAAAAACATTGATTTTTCAAGTATCCGATGGCATTTAGTACATTCATCCGTAAGCAAAGTCATTTTTGATAGAAAAAAATTTCAATCGAAATGAAATCAAAAAAAAGAAAATTATTTATTACATTGTATTTAAGCAAATATTTTAGATTCTCTTTTTTAAACTCAGATAAGTTTATATTAAATTATTGTAAAACCGTGCTAATAATACATAAATATTAATTAATAGACAAAAAGGTTTTAAAATATGCAATCCCGATAAATTTCAATATAAAAAAATAAAAACTATCTTTTACGCTAAAAAGAATAGAGATTAAAAAAAATATAAGATAGGTAAGTAATTAGCTCAAAGAAACTATTAAAATTTTAACATTAATATAAGGTAATCGCTTATAATATTTAACCCATCAAAAATGTAATAATTAACAAGTCTTGAACAATTATCTGGACTAATATAGAATAAGGTTATTATCTATTGTATTGAACCGGTTTAGAATCACGATCTGTAGTTTGGAAACACGATCTATAATTCAAAACCTTAATTAATATCTCAATTTTTAAGTATTGCAGCTAAAGTTGAAAGTTCTAAAATTAGTAATCCCGATCTGAAACACGACTCGAATTTTTCACAATAAAATGAAACAAGCGTCACAATAATAAAAATTTAAGTTTTTTTAAACTTGTGCAATAATGTCTCGAGAAATATCCATTCAAGAACGATGAAAAAAATTTTATTGTTATATTTTCGTCTAAGTTTGAAAAAAAATATATTATCGTTATTGCTTATTATTCTACCAATATTGATGTTACACAAGAACTGCATGATAGTGGGGTAGTTCTGACCGGCTAGCCGACACGTGATATCGGGCCAATTAAATATCATGTTTACAGGATCTTCCGCT